CTATTGGGCGCGTGCGCTCGCCAGACAGACAGAGAGAGACAGAGAGATAGAAAGCAGGAAATCACCCCCCAGGGGGGATGGCCACACCGCAATCCCTTCTCCTCCATTCTCCTCTTGGGATCTTGGGCACGCACGCACACGCGCCCGGCGTGAGTTTAAGCCACCGGGTCTGGGACTCGAACCGTGGTCGACTACGTGGGAGTCCAGCAACATAGCCATTACACTAACTGCTGGTCCCAACCGGCTTCTTAAGAAAAAACAAACTGATTTGAACTGTGAAAAGGAGGCAAAGAAGAAGAAGTCAAAATGGCTGCAGTTTTGTGTACAAGTCATTTACAATCAGATCTGTTTGTGTCTACTCTGGCTTTTTTATTTTTATTTTTTCCTTTTGCCAGTGAGAGACAAAGAGGGAGAGTGAAAAAGCACCTGTCCGAAGGGGCGTGGTCACGCTGCATTCGCCATTTCTCCGGTCTGCCGGGATTTGGGGCATGCTCACATGGGCACCTGGTGGGTTTTTCAAGCTGCCGGGGTCGGGATTCAAACACTATGGTCCGCTATATAGGATCTGGCTCTTTTAACCACCAGGCTACTGGAGGGTCCCCATTTTGCATTTTTACACACCTTTTTCATTTTTTTACAGATAAGTTAGACTTTTTATTTGATTTTAAGAGAGATTTTGGCTATACGGCACATGTGCTTGCCAGAGAGACAGAGAGATAGAAAGCGAGAAATCACCCCCAGGAGGGATGGCCACACCGCAGTCCCTTCTCCTCCATTCTCCTCTTGGGATCTTGGGCACGCACAGGCGCCCAGTATGAGTTTTGTTTTTTTTTTTTAAACCTGTTTTTTTTTTTTTTTTTTTTTTTTAAACCTGAACCCTAATCAAGGTTAGGCGTTTCTGCTTTCTGTTCCTTGAGGGTCTCAATCTCATGCATACATCTTTTTGAGAGTTTAATTGCCTTTTTTTTTTTTGAGAGATTTTTTTTTTGTTATAGGGCTCGTGCGCTCGCCAGAAAGACAGAGACAGAGAGACAGGAAGCGAGAAATAACCTCCCCAGAGCCAATGGCCGCTCCACAATCCCTTCTCCTCCATTCTCCTCTCAGGATCTTGGGCACGCACGCACACGTGCCCGACGTGAGTTTAAACCACCGGGTCCAGGACTCGAACCATGGCCGACTACATGGGAGTCCAGCAACATAGACATTACACCAGCTGCTGATTCCTAAATACATAATTCTTTTAAAAAATGAAAAAGATTTCAGTTTCAGGAAGGCAGGCATTGCTTCTGCTCAGGTAACTGTGAACTTAGACTTTTTAAAAAAATTTACTTTTTATTTAACTTTATTTACCTATTTTAAAAATAGTTTGGCCAGAGAGGGACAGAGTGAGAGAGAGACAGAGAGGGAGGGAAAGTGGGAGAGCAAGCTATGAGGCTGGGGATTCAAACCCCGGTCGGCCATGTGTGAGTCCGGCGCCCTTAACCCCCACGCCACCTGCCGGCCCCCGAGCTTTGGGGAACTTCAGGGAAGAATGAAGGGGAAATTGGAACCTGCTACCCTAGATGACTTCGAGAGGGAGATGGCCAAGCGCTTGCGTGTTTGGAGAGGGGAGGCCCGGGTAGATGAGCCCCACACGAAGTAGCACTTGTCCTTCGAAGGTGCGGCAGCTCCAGACCTCTGGGCATTTTCCCAAAAGCCTGCCATTCTCTGGCAGAGGCAGCCAGACTCTCCTACCCCAACCCAGTCTGGTCCGTGACTGGCGCTTCGGCCCTTTGGCTGCCATGGGAGGGATCAGGTGAGGGGCGCTGGGAGAAGGAGGCCAGCCCCCGCTGCATCCGGGCTATTTCTCATCTCACATGTGTTTTCATCACGTCTTGCTTCACGGCCTGTGTTTTCTGCAGCAGGCACTGTTTTGTGGCTCTGTCAGTGTGTGTGTGTGTGTGTGTGTATGTATATATATGTATACTTTTGTTTGTTTGTTTGTTTTAAAGCCATTTTCTTTAGCAGAGCTTATTTTTGGGACCAGCAGATGGCACAGTGGTGTTATATTACTGGACTGCGGTTTGAGTCCTGGACCTGGCGAGATGTCTCTGTCTCTCCAGCGAGCCCGATAGCAAAAATCTCTCTCTCTCTCAAAAAAAAAAAAAGATAAGCAAAGAAGACAGAAAAAAGAAAAGATGTTCTTTTCCATGAGCAAGACATTGTAAATTGTCACCCCTGGTCTCAGCCAGCCCCAGATCCTAGACACGTGCACGCCTGGTGGATTCAGGGCGGTCTCTGGACTTGAAGTTGGGACCTTCCTGTGTGGATCAGCCATGCAGAGGGTTGCATTTATTGCTGCACCCCGTCTAGCCACTGTAGTCCTTTACTTTGACGGCGGTCCCTTCCCACCCTGGGCTATTGTGGGCTTCGGGCATGCTCCCCTGAGAGATATTGCTTGCTGGGACCAGCTTGGGGGAACGAGTGGGGTGTGTGTGGAAACTGTCCACGTTTGTTTAGGGAACTCACACCCAGCAAGGAGGTGGGTGTTGCTTCAAGTTGCATACCTTTTGTTTTTTAGTTTTTTTTTTTTTTTTTTTTTTTTTTTTTTTTTTTTTTGCCATGTGGCACGTGTGCTCATCAGAGAGAGACAGAGACAGTGAGAGGGAAAGTGAGAAATCCCCCCCAGGGGGACGCTCACACCACAGTCCCTTCTCCATTCTCCTCCTGGGATCGCACACGTGCCTGGCATGACTGGTGGCATCCAGGTGAGACTCCACCACCCTCACCACCAGGTCACCTGCTGGCCCCTGCATTTCTATTTAAAAAAAAGAAGTATTTACTTTTAGTTGCTAAATAATGTATGTATGTTATATGAGGGGGCTTCAAATAGCTTGTGGGAAACATGGAATGAAAGCACAAGTTTATTTCAGCATAACAAATTTTTTTTGAACCTCATGCCCCCCCTTCTTCTTTTTTTTTTTTTTTTAAATAATACACATTTTCCACGAACTTTTTGAAGACCCCCCCCAATTACATATTTATGGGATGCCATGTGATATTTGCATCATATTTTGTCCTTATGAACTGATTACATCAGGATGATGAACCAAACCCATCGCCTCACATCCTTTTTCTTTTTGGAATTTTGTCTTTGGGTGTGGCTGAAACATTGAACATTTCTTGTAGCCATTTGAAACATACAATGCATTATTTATGATGGGTCCCTGTGCTGTGCTCACATCACCCACTCTTCTCTTGCCTCACTGAGGGCTTGTGTCCTTTGATGAGTGGGGAGACATCTGGAATTGGCTTACAGTCAACAGCGGATAGTCTTCAAAGAGTTAAAAGCACTAGGCTTCCACATGGCTGACCACAGTTCAAATCCTGACCTGGTGGCTTGCTTTCTCACTTCACCTCTGTCTCTGTCTCTTTTTGGCGCACAGGTACTCCATAGCCAACTCAGAATAATAATAATAGTAAAATAAAAAAAAATAAATAAGAAATGAAAGCCTGGGGCCAGCAGGTGAGCAGAGGGGAAGGTGTTAGATCCCACATGTTGTATTTTTCAAGCTGCCGAGTCTTAGACTCCAAGCAACAGGGCAGCCGACTACGTGGGCTCCAGCCACCTTAACTACCACGCCACCAGGGGGCCCAACTGCACCTTCTGTAGTCAGCCTATTAGCAGGTGTTGGATAATAATATCCTTTTGTCTCCTCTAGGCCGGAAGGCTTGAGTGTTGGAGAGGTTTTCATTCAGGTCTCCAAGGACGCCTCTTTTGAATGAAAGGGTTGACCCTCTGGGGCTGCTCCAGCCCCGGAAATGGGCCCCTTCCGTTCTCATGTGGTTTTGCCAGAAAGCGTCCCTGTGGGCCCGAGGTCATTGTCTGCCTCTTTTATTGCTTCCTCCCATTGAGCGGCAGCCCTCTGGTCCCCACAGACAGATCCGCATTCATGCTGGTGATGACAGTAACACCCCAGTCTAACTTCTCCTGAGCCTGCAGGGGTTTCTTTTTTTTTTTTCTTTTTTTGGAGAGGTTTTTGCTATAGGGTGCTTGCGGTTGCCAGAAAGACAGAGAGAGACAGAGAGACAGAAAGTGAGAAATCACCCCCCAGGGGGGATGGCCACACCGCAATCCCTTCTCCTCTATTCTCCTCTCGGGATCTTGGGTGCGCACGCGCACGCGCACACACACACACACACACACACACACACACACACTCGCTCGGCAGAGCCTGCACCTGTTTCTAACAGAGACTCATCTGGGCTGGCAGGTGGTATGGTGGTTAAGGGCACTGGACTCCCACGTGGCCGACCGTGGTTTGAGTCCCGGACCTGGTGGCTTTCTTTCTCACATTTCCTTTCTCTTGCTCTGTCCCTCTCTGGTCAACTTAAAATAAATAAATAAAGTTAAATAATTTTTTTTAAAGAAGAAAAAGACTCACTTGATAACAAAAATCTCTCTTAAGAGAAAAAAAAAGTTTGTGGGGCTGGAACTTGGAAGGGTGGTTGACTATGTGGGAGTCCAGGGATGTAACCATTACACCATCTGCTGGTCCCAAACACTTTCTAATTATCTTGCTACATTTAAAAAGTCCTTTGTGCTCTGAGGTTATTGGCCACTCTGTATCTATAGCAGCTACACAATGTGTCTACTGTTAGAAGTCTTATTGACCCATGGGCTACACTAGGGAGCTCTATGCTTAGAGACTTCACTTGGTAACCTGAAACTGACCATGGTTCCTGGAGTATTTACACCAGGGAAATTGGCAGATGCTGTAAATCAGGGCTGCTTTGCTCCACTCTCTGGGGGACTAGGAAGCATTTAGAGCATGCCCCCATGGCCAGGGAGCTTAAATGAGTGAATTAGATGTTGTGCCTGGCTGTGGCCCCGGCTGTAGAAAGGTACCAAAATTGTTAATATGTTGCTTTAGCTCTCACTTCCTATCCAGAGCGGCTGCCTGTTGCAGACAGAGACTGAGCAAAGTCACTGACCAGCTGTGTTTTCTCCGCCTCTCCAGTCTGTCCCACCATCTGCAAGTCGCATGGGTGCACCGCCGAAGGCCTCTGCTGCCACAGCGAATGCTTGGGCAACTGTTCGGAGCCCAACGACCCCACCAAGTGCGTGGCCTGCCGCAACTTCTACCTGGACGGCCGGTGTGTGGAGACCTGCCCGCCTCCGTACTACCACTTCCAGGACTGGCGCTGCGTGAACTTCAGCTTCTGCCAGGACCTGCATAACAAGTGCAAGAACTCCCGGAAGCAGGGCTGCCACCAGTACGTCATTCACAACAACAAGTGCATCCCCGAGTGTCCCTCCGGGTACACCATGAACTCCAGCAAGTAAGTTCTTGCTGCAGGGCTGTGGATTGTGGGTGATGGTGTAACCTGTTACAAACATGTGCAAAACCAGGGCTGACTGGCCACGAGGGAGGTTGCTGGTCTCTGAGGTCATTTTTGTATCCTGAGCTTTGGAGCAGGAGTTAGAAGACTTCTCCCCTCAGGGGCCAGATTTTTTGACATCTTTTTTTAAGAGTTAATTAATTAATTAATAATAATTTTTTTTTAAAAGAGGTTTTTACTATAGGGCACATGCACTTGCCAGAAAGACAGGGAGAGACAGAGAGACAGAAAACGAGAAATTCCCCCCCCCCGGGGGATGGCCATGCCATAATCCCTTCTCCTCCATTCTCCTCTTGGGATTTTGGGCACTCACATCTCGGGATCTTGGGCACGCACGCACACTGCCCGTTGTGAGTTTAAGCCACTGGGTCCGGTATGCGAACCATGGTTGACTACATGGGAATCCAGTGACATAGCCATTGCATCAACTGCTCGTCCCTTATTTATTATTATAATTACTATTTTAAATTTGATCAGAGAGAGAGAGCGAGAAAGCAAGCTAGCAGGTTCGGGACTCAAACCATGGTCAGTCATGTGGGAGTCCAGCACCTCAACGACCATGCCACCTACAAGCCCTAAATTTTTGACATCTTATGCATCATTTGTTTTGTTTTGTTTTATTTTGTTTTGTTTTGTTTTGCCTTAGGGTACGTGCACTCACTGGAGAGAGACAGTGAGAGGGAAAGTGAGAAATCACCCCCTAGAGGGATGGCCACGCTGCCATCTCTTCTCCTCTGTTCTCCTCCTGGTATTTTGGACACGCACATCCACAACCCTGGCATAATTTTTAAGCCACAGGGTCCGGGACTCGAACCACGGTCGAACATGTGGGAGTCCAGTGCCTTCACCAGCACGCCACCTGCTGGTCCCTTTGTACATCTTGTCTAAGTTCGCCGTGCTTAGCCTCAGAACAGAAACCCTGAAGACACAAGTCCGTGGGGTCTCTAGAATCCTCCGTGTGGCCCGTCCCCGTGGACGTAGCTGCCTCGTGGGTCCACCGAGAACGTGGCCGAGGTGGGCGTGCCTTTCCCGATGGGAAACGAGGCCGTGCGCTCAGAGGCGCTTGGGACACTTCGTCTGCAGGAGGCAGAAGCCCGCTTCTCCATTGTCCCCAGGGCTTTTCTGCTTTGCTGAAGGACGGTGCCGTGAAACCGCTTCCCATTTGGGTGAGAAATCAGGTTTTCTCTCTTTGGTGGTGAGTCAGATTTCCTGCGTAGATCACAGGCTTTTTGTTTATGTCCGTAGCTTCTTAAATGAGCTATTTCGGTGTCTCGGGTCATCACCAAGTTAAAAAAAAAAAAAAATCTGTTTCCTGGTTTTTGTGTTGAAGGTTTTTCTTTCTCTTTTTTTTTAAAAGCAGGACCACAAAACACCACCAAAACAAATCAGAAACAGACGCATCGGGAGGCCTTGAGCTGACCTGCTTACGTAAAAAAACCCTTCCTCTTCAGACTTGAGAATTAGCCAAGCGAGAGTTTTCTGGTGGGAAATTTTATTTCCTCGGGTGGAGAGGGCGGGAAGGGAAACAACCTTTAATTCAGTTCTTAGGAGTGTCTCTTTCTTCTGATGTTTGCAAAAAGCCCAAAGTACAATATGTTTTGTTTAACTCGTTTTTGATAAAAACCTGTCAAGTGGTTTTGTTGACCAGAAATAGGCCTCTAGAAATCACGTTTGCCTGGCAGAGGAGGGACCCCTTCTCCCCATCCCAAGCTTGCCAGTAAGGTTTAGAAAAAGATCATATTCTGTTTAACTCATTTCTACCTTTTAAACATTTGAAAGAGAGTGAGCATTCACATCTCCAGTGAGAGGTTTGTTTGAAAGACAGTGACTTTTCGACCGGGGGTTCGCGTCCTGGACCCGGTGGCTTAAAGCTTACGCCGGGCGCGTGTGTGTGCGTGCCCAAGATCCTGAGAGGAGAATGGAGGAGAAGAGATTGCAGCGTGGCCATCCCCCCTGGGGGAGGGGTGATTTCTTGCTTTCTGTCTCTCTGTCTCTGTCTTTCTGGTGAGTGCATGCGCCCTATAGCAGAAACCTCTCCAAAAAAGAAAAAAAAAAGAAAATACATATTATGAAAAAATTATATATGTCTTTTATTTTTTTTGCAATAAAACTAACTCATACTTTAATTGTATTTTCCCATCAACTTTTTGAAGTCCTCTTGTATTTTATGAAAGACTTTATAATACTATTGCATTATTTTATTTTATTTTATTTTGCTATAGGGTCCTAATACTGTTGCATTATTTTATTTTGCTATAGGGTGCATGCACTCAGCAGAGTGAGTGAGAGAGAAAAAGAGAGAGAGAAAGAGAGAGAATTTGGGGCATGCACACATGCAGGCCTGGTGTGTTTTTTAATCCGCCGGGTCTGGGACTTGAACTGCAAAGTCAGCTATTGGGATCCAGCCGCCTTAACCACCATGTGACGGACTGGCCCAGAATTGTGTTTTATAATGTGGCTGAATATCATATTGGGCCAGTCGTGTTTTCTGCCCTTCCGGTGGCTTCTCTAGGAAACAATTCTTGACGTTTTCTGAGCAGAGTTCTGGGAACACCGGTGGGTTTCTAAGAAGGCCTCGCCATCTGTAATCAGCCCAAGTTGTCTGGCAGGAGCAGGGGGTGCTTTTTCCTGAGACAAGAAGGACCAGATATTTGGGATGAATGTTACGTTCTCATGGGTATGGGACATGCGCGGAGAAGAGGAGGATTACTCCTGGCCTCGTTTTCCCCCTCATGCCTGGCCGTTAGCTGAGGTCTCCGATCCACCCACAAGGCCATCTGTCCTACCACCCTGTCAGGACCGTTCATTTTAAACAGTTTTTCTCCGTTCGAACTGCATGGACTAAAGGAAGTTTTTAGTTTTAAATATAATTAATTAATTATTTTTTTAATTGCCAGAGAGCATGCGTACTCACGAGAGATAGAGACAGAGAGAGGGAGAGGGAGAAAGCAATCTTTCGTGGGGTGTGGTCTTGCCACAATCCCATCTCCATTTCTCCATCCTGTTGGGGTTTTGCACATGCACACCCCCTCCTCCTGCCCGCCCCTCCCCACCCGGTTGTGTTTGTTAACTGCCAGGGCCGGGATTTGAACTGCCATCAGCCATGTGGGATCCAGCTCCCTTAACCATTAGGCTATGGACCGGGCCTGAAGGGGACTTTCATAAAAGGCAATCTGATCTTACCATGTCTTTGCCTAAAACCCTCCAAGGGCTTCCCATAAGGCGGTGAAAGTTCTCCTTTTATTTTGTTTTTATTTAAATCTGCAAAAAGAATTATTAACTTAATTATTTATTATTATTATTGTTTTTAGGGAGAGATTTTAGCTATAGGATATGTACGCTCACCAGAGAGACAGAGAGACAGAAGGCAAGAAATCAGCCCCCAGCAGGGATGGCCATGCCACAATCCTTTCTCCTCCAGTCTCTTCTTGGGATCTTGGGCACGCATGCACATGCAGCCAGAGTGAGTTTTAAGCCACCAGGTGTGGGACTCAAACCATGGTTGACCGTATGAGAGTCTAGCAATGTAACCATTACATCATTTGCTGGCTCTGTTATTATTACTGTTATTTAACATACAATAGGGGGCATGCGTGCTCACCAGAGAGAGACAGAGAGAGGGAAAGGGAAAAAGCAAGCCGTCAGGTCTGGGACTCGAACTGCGGTCAGCCATGTGGGAGTCCAGCGCCTTAACCACCACGCCAGCTGCTGGTCCCAGTTCTCATTTTATTAAATCCACCCCTTGCCTGTTGCTGTAGCAACATGGGGTTCCTCCAGCTCGCCAAATTCATTCTTTCCTCTGTACCTGTGCACTGGCTGTTCTCGCCTCCCAAGATACTTTGTCTTTTGGTTTTTGGATGACCGAGTTCTCTTTGTCATCAAGATTGCAATCAAAAGTCTTCTTCCTGGGACCAGCAGGTGGCGTGGTGGTTAAGGTGCTGGACACTCCCACATGGCCAACCATGGTTCGAATCCCGGACCTGGCAGCTTCCTATATCCCTTTCTCTCTGTGTGTCTCTCTCTGGTCAAATTAAAATAAATGAATGAATAAATAAAATTAAATAAATAATAATTAAAAAAAAAGAAAAAGTCCCCTTCCCTGTCTGATCACCCCATCAGAATTAGCCATCTGCTCATTCTCTGGCTTGTCATTCACTTTTAATTCTTTTCGTGGGTATTTATCACTCGCAAATATTTTTATTGTCGGTGTATTCATCCTCCTCAGTTATGAGGCATCTTCCAAAATGCCATGGGTAATGTATGTTACGAAAACACATGGATTTCAAGTTTTAATTTATTTTACGTATGATAGAGAGCGTGTGCACACACATGAAAGATCAGTAGGTTGGTAGACAGACACAGAGAGAAACGTCCTCAACCGGGTCTGATGCCTTGATCCTCTTCCTCTAGCTCGGGAGCCCCTCAGGATCTTGGATGTGCATGTATGTGCCTGCTGCATTTCAGGTCAACTGGGCCGGGGATCTGAACCGGGGGTTACAGATTTCAGAATTCCTTTGCACCAAAATTGACTTGTATTCTAATTCCATTTTCTCAGTAAGTTTCTGTAGTCCCCTCATAGGTCATAAGTTACGAGAGTGTATCAGTTAGCTCGTGCTGCGTAACAAACCACCTCAGTGCTTAGTGATTGAAAGCACACATTTATGCGTTCTAATGATTTTGTATGCTGACTGGTGGTTTTTCTGGCCTGGGCTGGATGATTTAAGATAGCCTCTGTGTCTTAGATGGGTAGGTGGAACCTCTCTCCAATGAGGTTTCTCATCCCAGCAGCTGAGAAGAGTATACTCCAGTGGGCAGATGCTTTTTAAACTTTTGTTTGCATCTCATTTGCTAATATCCCGTTGGCCAAAGTACATCACATGGCCAAGCCAAGATTCAACAGGTGAGCGGTCGAGAGAGGCTGCAGAGAACTCGTGCCTACTTCTCGTTTGCCTCTGGGAGAGGAGCTTATCTGTTTGGTTCACTCACGTGTACCTGCAGCTTAGCACAGGGGTTGGCAAAAGACCAGATAGTAAATATTTTCAGCTCCGAGGGCCAGATGGCCTCGCTGTTGCAGCTACTCAGCTCTGCCTTTGTAGAGACCAAACAGGCTTAGAGGATGCACTAGCCCAGTGGAGGTGGCCATGTTCCAATAGAACGCTGTTTGCGAAAACAGGTGGCCAGCCGGATTTGCCCGTGGGCTGTGGTTTGCCAACCCCTGGTTTAGCATATCACCTGCCGCATAAGTGTAGCACCAATAAAAGAACCCAAATATTTGGTCACTGTCCTGTTTCCATCCCAGCTGTCCTGACACCAACTGGTTGTACCATGAGACAGTTCTGACGCATCGCACCTGCACTTGGCTTCAGACTCCACAAGTTCAAGACTCTGTTCTTTCATGACCAGCACGTCAGGGGTCCCCACCCACACTGCTGATTGACTGGCTGTTAACTTTGGAGTTTTCACACGTCCTGGTTTGATAATTCACTAGAGCAACTTACAGAATGACTACGTTGTCGGGAAAGGCACGACATAGTTTTCTATGAGAAGGATTTATTTCGGGACCAGCAGTTGGCGTAATGGCTATGTCGCTGGACTCCCATGTAGTCGATTGTGGTTCGTGTCCCGGACCCGGTGGCTTAAAACTCATGCCGGGCGCGTGTGCGTGCGTGCCCAAGATCCCAAGAGGAGAATGGAGGAGAAGGGATTGCGGTGTGGCCATCCCCCCAGGGGGAGATTTCTCACTTTCTGTCTCTTTCTGTCTTTCTGCTGAGTGCACACGCCCTATAGAAAACAAAAACAAAACCAAACACAAACAAAAGCAAAAACCTTTCCAACAACAAAAACAGAAAAGAAAGATTTATTTCATTGTATTTATCATCATCATCATCATTATTATTTTTAAAAAATTTTCCCAGAGAGAGATGGAAAATGAGAAAGCAAGCCAGCTTTGCAGACACAGCTTGCATGATGTCTCCTTGGGGAGTCAGAGGGCGTCAGATGCTCGGCACCCCAATGTGCGTTTACTGGCCGGGAAGCTCCTCTGAGCTTCAGCGTCCACCATTCTTCCTGGCATTTCCTTCCATAGCCACGACTGGCCATGGGGTGGAACTCCGTCTCCAGCCCCGCTCCCCACCCCCTGGAGCTCAGGCCGCTGGAAGCCTCAACCCTCTATTCCAATGGTGGTTTTTTATGATGACCAGCCCCACCCTAAAGTTATTGACAGGCTCACCACAAATCACCCCAATATTCCTAACGGCAGTAACAAAGGTAGGCTTACCGCTCAGGAAATTCCAAGGGTTTTTGAAGCTCTCTGCCAGAAACTGGGGCAAGGATATCTATATTTAATTATGCTTATGTATTCTTTATTATTTTTATTAATAAAGGTATATTCTTTATTATGCTGCAGTCTTAAATCACCTGAGAAATGGAAAACATGGGGCCTTGGGACCAGCAGATGGTGTAATGGTTGTGTCATTGGACTCCCACATAGTTGAACATGGTTCGAGTCACGGGCCCGGCAACTTAAAACTCATGCCGGGCGCATGTGCGTGCATGCCCAAGATCCCGAGAGGAGAATGGAGGAGATGGGATTGCGGCGTGGCTCCCCATTGGGGGATGATTTCTTGCTTTCTGTCTCTCTGTCTCTCAGGCATATGTGCCCTATAGCAAAAATCTCTTAAAAAATAGAGAACACAGGGCCTTGGAAATGACACAGCAGCAGCAGTGGTGACTTGTAGTAAAAAGTGATCATTGTAGTGATGGCGGGCCGTCTCTGCTTTCTGTGTGCTAGATGCTTTATTGAGTAGCTCCCACATCATGGAGACCTCAGCACAACCCGTGGGGTTTGATCTGTGATTACCTTCATTGTACCCATGAGGAAACTGAGTTGTTGAGAAGGTAATAGTTGGGAATCTTGTGCTTTCACGGGACAGCACCCCAACTCAAACTAGCTGAAGCAGGGTGAAGGCAGTTGATCGGTACTCATAATCAAACCATTCAGGGGATTGCTTCAGGTATGGCTGCATCCAGGCGCTCGCGCGATGGGCGTCAGCAGTCTCTCTCCAGCCTTTGCCTTTACTCCGCTCTCTCTGCTTTTGTCCTCGGAAACTTCTCAAGCTCACGCCTCTCCCCATGCCAGCAAGGTGGCCATGCCCTCTTAGGTTCTCTCGAAGGAAGACAATTTCTTCCCTCCAGGAGTTGGGTTGTGTGTCCACCTCTGACTGCAGGGACATGAACGATAGTGCCTGCATGGCTGAGGTACCGTGTCCCACCTGGATGTTCTACAAGGTGCATGCACTTGCTTGAGAGACAGAAAATGAGACATCACCCCCAGGGGGAATGGCCATACCGCAGTCCCTTTTCCATTCTCTTCCCGGGATTTGGGGCACGCATGCACACGCGCTTGGAGAGATTTTCAAGCTGCCGAGTCCGGGACTCGATCCATGGTGAGCCATGTGGGAGTCCAGCTGCCGTACTCACTATGCTACCTGCCGGCCCCTCAGCACCCCAGGGAACTCCTGACAATGTGCAGGGTATTGTGTGGTTGCCGTGCCTCGGGGGACCGGGCGCTGCTGGCATCTCGTGGGAGGAGCCTGGGGGTGCCGTCCAACCTCCCACAATGCACAGGGGCTGGCCCCGGACGTCATCCGTGCTGAAGTCACACGGTGCTGCCTCGGGCTGACAGCGGAAGTGCAGTCCCTCGGGTTGCCATGGAGCCGGCCCTCTGCCGGGTGCGGCCTGACCGCCCTCTCTCTGCTCTGTCCATAGCCTGATGTGCACCCCGTGCCTGGGCCCCTGCCCCAAGGTCTGTCACCTCCTAGAAGGCGAGAAGACCATTGACTCGGTGACGTCGGCCCAGGAGCTCCGAGGCTGCACCGTCGTCAACGGCAGCCTGATCATCAACATCAGAGGAGGCAGTGAGTGGGGGAGCGTGTGGCTGCGGGGGCGGCTCTGTGCGCGAGGGGCAGGGCGGGGCGGGGGCCACAGGCCCGAGTCTGCTGCGGGCTCCTGTGGCTAGTTTATGTTTTACCACACGGCAAGTGTTCTTGTTGGAGAGAGACAGGGAGAGACAGAGAGACAGGAAGCGAGAAATCACCCCCCAGGGGATCTTGGGTGCACATGCACCTGGGCCTGGCATGAGTTTAAAGCCCCCAGGTCTGGGACTCGAACTGCCGTCCACTACATGGGAATCCAGCAATGTAACCATTATGCCACCTGCTGGTCTCTCCTATGGCAATTTTTTTAAAAAAAGACTTATTTATTCATTCATTTAGTTTAATTTGACCAGAGACAGAGAGAGAGAGAAAGTGAGAAAGCAAACTGCCAGGTCCAGGACTTGAACCGTGGTCGGCCATGTGGGACTGTCCAGCACCTTAACTACCATGCCACCTGCTGGTCCCCATGGCTGTCTTTTGGTAGAGGCATGCCAGAAGTCTGCCCCAACCCTGAGATGAACAGCCCAGTCCCAGCCCTGGCCCTCCTTAAAGTCTCATTTCCCCAGCTGGGAGTTGGGGTATCAGAAATCCGCATGTATTTATTAGTATTATTATTTTTCCTTTGAGAATGCGAATATTTCGCAGCTCATGGATAATTTAGTTTTTTGTTTTTAGATTTTTGCCATAGGGCACATGCACTCCCCAGAGAGAGGCAGAGATAAAGTGAGAAATCAGCCCCCAGCAATGCTGACCATGCTGCAGTTCCTTCTCCTCGTCTCTTCCTGGGATTTTGGGCATGCATGCACACGCACGTGGTATGTTTCTCAAGCCACCAGGTCTGGGACGTGAACTCCACAGCTGGCCATGTGAGACCTAACTATCTTAACCCTCACACCACCTGCTGGCCCAGAAGCTGCATTTAAAAAAAAATATATATATTTACTTTTAATTGTTATTATTACTTAATTTGACCGGAGAGAGAGAGAGAGGAAAAGTGAGAAAGCAAACTGCCAGGTCCAGGACTCGAACCGCAGTCGGCCATGTGGGAGTCCAGCACCTTAACCTCACACCACCTGCCGGCCCCCACAATCTACGTTTTCACAAGCAGACGGCATGCCCTATTGCAGGTTGGCAGACCGCGTTTCCGGAAATACTGTCTCAGGCCCGAAGACGTTCTCTTGTTTAGTCATTCAGCAAGCGTTTATGGAATACTCGCATGGACAGGGCAGTCTTTGCCCCATAGGTCTTACAGATGAGGAAACGCACGCATCATGGCAGGGCAGGGGTGCCTCTCGCTGTAAAGGGAAGCACAGCCGGGTAGTGGGGGAGAGTGTTCAAAGCATGATGGGTATTTTTTTTTTTTTTAAAGGGTTCTGTCTTAGGGTGTGTGTGCTTGCTGAGAAGAGAGAGAGAAAGACAGAGAGAGACAGAGAGAGACAGAGAGAGAGACAGGCAGAGGCAGAGGGAAAGTGAGAAGTCCCCCTCCCCCCAGAGGGGATGGCCGTGCTGCAACCACTTCTCCTGGGGTCTTGGGCACGCACGCACACGCGCCTGGCATGATTTTCAAATCACCGGGTCCGGGACTTGAACTGTGCTCAGCCATCTGAGAGTCCAGCAACGTAACCACTACACCATCTGCTGGCCCCCAAAGCATGATGGGTTTTGAGCAGGATCTGCCCGCATCGTCTGCAGCGTGTGGGTTAGCTTCACCGTGAACAGTATCAGAATGACGTGAATGTTTCTGTGCAAGCTCACTGGGCCGGCCTCTCTCTCTCCCGTAGACAACCTGGCTGCAGAGCTGGAGGCCAACCTGGGCCTCATCGAAGAGATCTCGGGGTATCTCAAAATCCGCCGATCCTACGCCCTCGTGTCTCTTTCCTTCTTCCGGAAGTTACGCGTGATTCGAGGAGAGACCCTGGAAATCGGGTACGTGAGCCTGACTCTGTGTTTGGAAGTTTGTGAATTGGGAAAAGCTAGGGTGTTGCTTAGTTACTTATTTATTTTTTAATACCAACCCCCCACATCTATTACGAGAAAGTGCCCGGGAAAACCTTGGGGGAAAGGATGTGTCTAGAGGGCCATTTCGCTAAAAAAACAACTCGTTTTATGGTCATTCTTTTTTGTTTTGTTTTGTTTAGGTTTCTGCCATAGGGCATGTATGCTCAGCAGAGAGAGACAGAGACAGAGAAAGACAGAGAGATGAAAAAGTGAGAAATGACCCCTTGGGGGGATGGCCACACCATAGTCCCTTCTCCTCCGTTCTCCTCTTGGGATCCTGGGCACGCACACACATGCATCCAGCGTGATTTTCAAGCCACCGTTCCGGGACTTGAACTGTGGTCAGCCATGCGCCTTAATCTCCATGCCACCTGCTGGCCCAGGGTGTTGCTTTTTTATAAACCGAAACCCCCACATCTACTAGGAGAAAATGCCTGTCAAAACCTTGTGGGAAGGGAACTGGTGTTGGGATGTGGCTGAAGTTTCATTCGACTAAAAACATAAAGCCTGTTTATGGTCGTTCTAGAGAAATGTGACCGGGCACCTTTGGGCCTTCCAAGGGTGCTGCAGGGAGTTTGCTAAATAGGCATCCAGGGACCGGCAGGGGGCATGGTAGTTAAGGATGCTAGACTCCCATGTGGCTGACCGCGGTTCAAATCCCGGACCTGGCGGCTCGCTTTGTCACTTTCTCTGTCTCTCTCTCTCAGTGTCTCCCTCTCTCGGTCTGTCTCTCTCACACACCTGCTTCTTCTTGAGATGCTCATCTCCTGTAGCTCGTGGGACTCCACCCCTGCAGGGCCTTCTGGGTTTCCTGCATCATCTCCTGTCCCAGCTCCATCTCCCCCATCTGCCTTTGCAAGCGGTCCCACCTCTCAGGTGCTCTCCTCCTACCTGTGCTGAGACCTCTGGGCCTGTCTTCTTTCCTTAACCCCATGTCTGCCTGCAGCTGGCCCCCCGGTGACCTCCAGGAGCCTCCAATGCCATTCGTACCAAACACAACTCCTTTGCTGACTTCCTCTCAGGTCCGTCTAACAGGTTGTTGGAACAGCCATGACGTGTTTGTCTATGTTTTCCTATGCAAAAACGCATCATGACTTTTCCCATGATGCAATATTTCTTAGACTTCACCCCCCACCAACCTGTGGTCTCACTGATCCTATTTCAGTTAGGACGACAGCAGAAATCCAGACTAGCGCGTTTTGCACAGATAAAGATGGACTCGTCGGTGAGAATTCAGAGATGCTTTTGAGGACTCAGGTTCTTTCTGTCTTTGGGTTCCTCATGGTCACAAGATGGCTGCCTCATCCCCAGTCTCACATCAACTTCTTTGGTCCTCCCCATTCAACCGATATTTGAGCATGTACCAAGGAAGTGATTAGGGCTGGGGATATCGCACTGAACTGGGTCGACTCTAGGGGTGGCCCCGTCATTGTGGGGTCAGAGGAGACCAGCCCGCGAATGACTGTGTGTGTGTTTCCATAGGAACTACTCCTTCTATGCCTTGGACAACCAGAACCTAAGGCAGCTGTGGGACTGGAGCAAGCACAACCTCACCATCACTCAGGGCAAACTGTTCTTCCACTACAACCCCAAACTCTGCCTGTCAGAAATTCACAAGATGGAAGAAGTTTCCGGAACCAAGGGGCGCCAGGAGAGGAACGACATCGCTCCGAAGACCAATGGGGACCAGGCATCCTGTAAGTGGGGCAGCCCTGGCACTTCCAGCCCAGGACCAGCTAACGTGGCAGCCCCAGCTCACGGCCACTCTGGCTCCTCCGTGGGAGTGCCACCTCCCCTGTGAACAAGAACACACCGTGTGACAGGCTTTCCGAAATACAGCTGCTCCTCACTCAGCGACCTACCAATGTAACGGCTGCTCTGCTTTACAGAGATATTTGCTATAGGGCGCGTGCGCTTGCTGGAGAGACAGAGAGACAGAATGCAAGAAATCACCCCTCAGGGTGGTTGACCACGCCACAATCCCTTCTCCTCCATTCTCTCTCTCTTCTTTTTTTTTTTTTGGAGAGAGGCTTTTGCTATAGGGCATGTGCACTCACCAGAAAGACAGAGAGAGAGAGACAGAGAGACAGAAATCCCTTCTCCTCCATTCTCCTCTCAGGATCTTGGACACACATACAGACACACATACACACACATGCCCTGTGTGAGATAAGCCACCGCCGGCTCCAGGACTTGAACTGCGGTCGGCTACATGGGAGTCCAGCAACCCAGCCATTACGTCAACTGCTGGTCCTGTGACTTCGCTGTTTTCACGGCCCCTCCTGGGAGTGTGGGATGGGACGCTTTGACCTGAAACTGTTGACCACTGACATGGCCGTTTTCTGTTCTTCAACCCCTTCTAGGTGAAAATGAGTTACTTAAGTTTTCTCACATTCGAACTTCCTCGGACAAGATCTTGCTGAAGTGGGAGCCTTACTGGCCCCCCGACTTCCGAGACCTCTTGGGGTTCATGCTCTTTTACAAAGAGGCGTAAGTAGAAGAGGAAGGAGGGAGGGAGCGGGTGGGTGCGCTCGGATCTTCCTCTCTCCTGGCCCTTTCCTCTCCTCCTCCAGGGAAAAGATATCTTTTCATCACCTTCCCAGTTGGTGGCGCACAGAGTCCATAACGGACTCTGTCGTCAAAAGCCTGCGGGACCAGCAGATGGCAGAGCGGTTACGTCGCCGGACTCCCACATGATCCACTGGGGTTCAAGTCCCGCATCTGGTGGCTTAAACTCACGCCAGGCGCGTGTGCGTGCGTGCCCGAGATCCCGGGAGGAGAATGGAGGAGAAGGGATTGTGGCGTGGCCATCCTCCCTGGGGGGTGATTTCTCACTTTCTCTTCGACTGTCTCTGACTCTCTCTCCTCAGCAAGCACACAGGCCCTAAGGCAAAAACTTCCACAAAACAAAACAAGAATCTTGAAATAGATACATTACTTTGGGAGGTCCGGACTGGCCAGTTTTCTGTGCAGTAGCTTTTTTGTTTTTCTAGAGAGCACATACATTCATGATAGAGACAGAGACAGAGAGACGGAGAGAGGGAGAGGAGAGAGTACCCTCCATGGGGGACGGTCATGCTGCAAGCCCTTCTCCAGCTCTCCCTCCTTTCGGGATTTTGGGTGTGCATGCACACGTGCCTGACGTGTTTCTCAAGACGCCAGGTCTGGGATTTGAACCACCTAGTTGGTCATGTGGGCTCCAGCTGCCTTCACCGCCCGGCTGCGGTGCTAGCCCAAGGAGTATTCCATTTTGCTTTCAACAAAGTGTATGTCTCATGGGACAGCCCATGCGTCAAGGGACTCTGTCTGCTATGTAATAAAACAAAAAATTATGTATTGATTTTATTTTTATTTTTGTATTATTTACATTTTTGCTTTAGAGAGACACAGAGAGAGAGAGAGAGAGGTTGAGAGAGAGAGAGAGAAGGCAAGCCACCAGGTCCAGGACTTGAACTGTGGTTGGCCAGGTGGGAATCCAGCATCTCCACCACCACACCACCTGCTGGCTTCTGCTGTGTAATTTTTAAAAAATGTACCTTTTACCTAAATATTTTCATTTTTCCCCGATATAGATATTTTTGGTCAGGGTCAGGTAGACCTAAAATTTCCCGTTTTAAGCGTGCTTGGGCCATCGCTCTGTGATGTGAAGTAGATTCGCACTGTGTGTAATCGTCCCTACCTTCCGTTGCCAGAATGTTTTTACTTTTTTGCTACGGGGCATAAGCACTCACTGAGACAGAGAGAGACAGAGAGAGAGAGATAGAGATAGAGAGAGAGAGTGAAAAAAGCACCCCTTCCTCGATCCCTTCTCTTCTACTCTCCTCTCGGGAGTTTTGGACATACACGCACACACCTAGTGTGATTTTTCAAGCTGCCATGCCCGGGACTCAAACCATGCAGTAGGCCAGAGACGTAACCTCGGTGCCATTTGCTGGCCCTGTGCTGGAATTTTAAAGAACATTGTGGAGAGTGTTGTGTTAGAAATGTTAATAATAGTTTTATCTCAAGATTTATTATGTGTGAGGCTAAAAACTTACACATATACATTCTCTTGTGTCATCTTCTTCAAAGAAGAATGATTTAATTTGATTTGTCATCGTTGTTATTTCTTAACTTTTTACAGGGTTGCACTCACCAGAGAGAGACAGAGGGAGAGAGAGTGAGAAAGCGAGCCACCACATCCGGGACTCGAACCGTCGTTGGCCCTGTGGGAATTCAGCACCTTAACCACCATGCCACCTGCTGGCTCCTCACATAGTCTTATCAGTACCTCACGACGTACTTACCACTCTTATTATTGTCCTTTTATGGCGGAGACATCAGGGTTGGTGGCCCTTGACTCTTGTCCGTTTCTGTGTTGTTTTTCCTTGTGGCATAAGGCTGTGGGTGAGCCACGTGCCACCCCGTAGGACACTGACCTAGGTGCCACCTCTGCAGTGCCCAGAGCGAGCGACCCAGCCTGCTAACCGCCTTCCCCGTTTTGTCTTGAAAGCCCGTATCAGAATGTGACAGAGTTCGACGGGCAGGATGCGTGCGGCTCCAACAGCTGGACGGTGGTGGACATCGACCCCCCGCAGAGGTCCAATGACCCCAAGTCACAGAACCAGCCCGGGTGGCTGATGCGGGGCCTGAAGCCCTGGACCCAGTACGCCATCTTTGTCAAGACCCTGGTCACCTTCTCTGACGAGCGGCGCACCTACGGGGCCAAGAGCGACATCATTTATGTCCAGACAGACGCCACCAGTACGTGTGAACGTAGATTCGCGCGTGGTCGGGCCGGTGTCTTAATGGTTTATTGTCATTTAGTTTGCTATAGGGTGTGTGTACTCACCGGAGAGAGAGAAAGAGAAAGTGAGAAATCACCCTCCGGGGAGAATGACCACACCACAATCCCTTCTCCGTTCTCCTCTTGGGATTTTGGGCATGCACCTGGCATGAGTTTCAAGCTGCCAGGTCAGGGAATCGAACCATGGCTGGTCAGTGGGAGTCTAGTGCCTTAACCACTGTGCCACTTGCTGGCCCCCTATTTATTGAATTTTTCAAAGTGCATTTATTTATTTACCAGCAGGCGTGTGTGCTCACCCGAGACGGAGGGAGTGGGGGAAGGGGAAGTACCCTACGCAGGACGTGGTCACACCTGTCTTTTCTCCCCCGTTTCTCCATCCTGTTGGCATTTTGGATATGCGTACACACGTGCCCGATGTCTTTTTTGAGCTGCTGGGGCCGGGATTTGAACTCCGCAGTTGGCCATGTGGGGCCCAGCTCCCTTAACCAGCAGACCACAGGCCCAGCCCCATCTTGCCCTTACCAGGCTGGCATGACGTATAAAACTCGTCTTTGAAGGAGCTGGTACTGAGGTCTGTAAGGAATGACTGTCTGTAATCATCTCCCAGTTTAACATTTTGCCATTAAAAAAAAAAAATGTATGCATTTATTTCTTCTGAGAGAGAGACGCTCCTTCCAGAGAGTCTTTGTACAGTGAACCTTCCCTGGTCTCAGCCCTCCGGGACCACAGGTACACATATCCACCTAGAGTCCTCAGGCAGGGCCGGGACCCGAACCCAGGACCTCTCCCGTATGGGGCCACTTGCAGGACTGCTGTGCTTCCACCTGGCCCTCTCCTCTATTAGGGGAAGGTTTTGTGGAGCCCCCCCCCCAAGCGTTTTATGTTGGGAGCGTCACATACCAGCTCAAGGACACCCCCCACTGGCTTCAAGTTGGCCTTGTGACTGGGCTCCGTCTGGAGCAGAGGTTAAGTAGAAAACGTGAGGGGTTGGCCGTGCCCCGTGAGCCTCCCTGCACCCAGCGGTGACTTCCCAGTGTGGACAGAGAGCTCGCCGCTGTCGGGGTTCGATCGTGTTGGTCTAAATGGATGACCGGGGGTGTGAACGGTCCCTCACTTGGTAACTCATCTTTGGACGGGATAAGGGTTCTGTGTGTCTCCAGGTTTCCGTGATGTTAAATAACTCTGCGTGAGGCTGCAGACGGCGTGGAGGTTAAGGCGGCTGGGTCTCACGTGGCCAACAACACGGCGGAGTCTTGGACCCACCGGTGACTTGAAAAACATACTGGGCACATGCGTGTGCATGCCTAAAACCCGAGAGGCAGATGGAGGAGAGGGGATTGGGCGCGGCCATCCTCCCTGGGGCGGAGGGTGATTTCTCCCGTTCTCTCTCTCTGGCCGTCTGTCTGTCTCTGGCGAGTGCACACGCCGTGTAACAAAAGAGCCAGCCAAATAACAGCGCGGTGAACACCCTCACCGTCTGGGCTTAGCTCGTCCCCTCTCACACCCGCCTGACACTTTGCCGTTGCTTCCTCTCAGAGCTGGTCCGTTTTCTTTCTCTTTTGCAGACCCTTCCGTCCCCCTGGACCCGATCTCGGTGTCTAATTCCTCATCCCAGATTATCCTGAAGTGGAAGCCCCCCTCCGACCCGAACGGCAACATCACCCACTATCTGGTGTTCTGGGAGAGGCAGGCGGAGGACAGCGAGCTGTATGAGTTGGATTATTGCCTCAAAGGTGAGCGTGGGGAGCCGGGTCGGGCTAGGCAGGTGTCGTGTGTACGCAGCCAGGGAGGGAGCTCTTCCCCCCACCCCTCTGCCTCCCAGCGTCTGCATGTTTGCACGTATATAAGTGTGCATGCAGGCGTGCGCATGCACATCCTGCATCCTACCTTATGCACACACACACACACACACACACACACACACACACACTTTTGTTTATTTATTTATTTCTTCTGAGAGACAGAGACAGAGAAAGACAACACCCAACAGGGCCCTCACACCGTGATGCGCTCCTGGCCTCAGCTAGCCCTGGGTCGTGGGCACACGTATGTGCACCCACTGTGTTAGGGAAACCTGGGGATGTGAAGCCAGGACCTTCCCACGTGGTGTAAGCGTCATGGAGTGTTGCATATTGCTGCACCACCGCGGCTGGCCAACACCCATGGATCAGCGTCCTCACACAAGCGTGTGCTTTGTAGACGGAGGTCCAAACCCGTTATTGCTCACGTCTTGGCACCATCTCCTTCTGGAATTTTCTCCTCTCCCCCTTCCTCCCTTCTTTCCTCGTTGTCCGCTGTCCTCTCGCTCTGAGCCGGAGGGAGCTGTGTCATCCACACGAGGCTTCTTTGCAAAGCTAGAAACACAACTGAGAGTGTTGGGAAGTTATTGATGGGCCAAGGCATGGCGGATCAGGTGGCTGGATCCCATATGGCCAACTGTGTGGTTCGAGTCCTGGACCCAGTGGTTTAAAACACATGCCAAATTTGTGTACATGCCAAACATCTCGAAAGGAAAAGTAGAGAAGGGATTTTGGCGTGGCCATCCTCCCGGGGGGTGCGTCCACACTTTCCCTCTCTCTGTCTCTGCCTCTCTCTGGCAAGTGCACACGCCCGATAGCAAAATTTAAAATAAATAAATAAACGAAGAAGGCTAGAAACTTGAAAAAAGGATCTTAAAACTGGGTTTTTAAAATATCCCACCACACTGGAGAAAGCAGGAGCCATGTTATATTATTATTATTATATCCATTCTCCTCTCTGGATCTTGGGTATGCACACACACACACGTGTCTTGGTTCGTCTGTATTTCATTCACTTGAGGGTTTTTGTTAGTGATGTCACCCGTCGTGACCTTGGGTAAGGCCGGGGCCACTGGCGAGCTGCAGCTGAGGGCAGGGACCTGAGGTCTGCTCTCGGCTCTGCTGGTGACCTGCTGGAGGAGCGTTTGGACCAAGTCCCCGAGAGAGTCACTGTGTCCTTTTTGGGAGAAGGGGCGGGAGAACAGATGATCTCGGGGCCCGGTCCCAAGTCTAAGATCATTGTGCTATATGTGTGCGTGTGACATCACCCCCACCCAGCCCGGGCTGCACCGTGATCGATCTCCTGAGATGCTTTATATAACTGCAGGGCAGGCCCAGTCGTCAGCTGAGCCGTAGCTGCTGGGCCTGCCTCCAAGAATCCCAAACCACTGGCAGCCCCAGCCACAGCCACTTTGCAAGTCTAAATTTGTAACGCCCATACCAGTGCCAGAGCTCGCACATGGTTTTCTTGGTATTTATCACAAAGCGTATGTAATTAAAAATAAGCGTACTGGGACCAGCAGATGGCGTAATGGCTATGTCACTGGACTCCCACATAGTCATCTGTGGTTTGAGTCCCGGACCCGGCAGCTTAAAACTCACGCCGGGTGTGTGTGCGTGCATGCCCAAGATCCAGAGAGGAGGAGGGGGGAGAAGGGATTGTGGTGTGGCCATGCCCCTGAGAGGTGATTTCTCGCTTTCTGTCTCTCTGGTAAGCACATGCACCCTGTAGCAAAAAATCTCTCTCTCTCGCTCAAAAAAAGTAAACTTACTAAGGGTAAATGAGTCTACTCATGGATGGTCCTAGAAGAGTCAGGTTTTTAAAGTCAGGAAGTAGAATGGGGGGGGGCCAGGAGCTGGGGCAGAGGGCTGGGGAGGGAGTGGT